TAATAATAATATCCCAGGCTCTTGGGAAGGACTCAGTGGTTGGACAAAAATGCCAAGATAGAAATCATTGGGCAGGATTTAGAAAACTGAAACCTGCAGGAAAATAATAAACTCTGCCACTGAGTTATAGTTCCTCTGAACTGCTGAGTAATGCTGGACCAAGAGGAAGTAGGAAATGTGGTGGAATATGACCGCACAGGGCTGGCTTATCTAAAAATGTGGTATTTGGCTCCGGATGTGGAAATTGTTCTGTGCATAGCAGAGCTGGGCTATGAAATGAAATATGAATAATCAGGTTAACTTTAAAGAGCATATTCCATAAAGTTGCAAAGACGGGTACAAGATAAACACAAATACAATTGCATTTGGCAATTACAATTTAGATTGGCAACTCAGTCATTATGTGAAGCAGTCACTAAGTGAAATTGTGACTGCTTATGATCCTACTTCAATTTTCTTTTCTTTTACAGACTTGCAAAGGTTGTAAATGCAAGGACTAGCCATAAAATTACCTTTTCATCACAATAGTAAACAGTGAATGGTCGCTAAAAGGGGGTAGTCATTAAATGAAGACTTCCTGTAGCAAAGAAGTCTCAGGCTGGCAGGAAATCTAAAAATTGTTGCTTCACAACCCTAAGAGACATGAGATGTTGAATGGATCCTGTTTTTATACTTTATTTATACAGTACTGTGCAAAAGCATTAGGTAGTTGTACAAAAATGCTATAAATTAATAATGCTTTCAGAAATAGAAGTGTTAATAGTTTATTTTTATCACTTAACCAAATGGAAAGTAAATGAACAAAAGAAGAATCCAAATCAAATCAATATTTGGTCTGACCACCCTTTACCTTCAAAACAGCACAATTTTTTCTAAGTATACTTGCACACAGTTTTTGAAGGAACTCAACAAGGTTCCTTCAAGGTTCTTCCAAACATCTTGGAGAACTAACTACAGATCTTCTGTCAGTGTAGGCTACCTCAAATCCTTCTGTCTTTTCATGTAATCTCAAACAGACTCAAAGATGTTGTTAGGGTCCACTTCAAAACCTCATCCTAAGAAAGCAGAACTCGTGGAAGCAGTTTCTTTCAAAAGGAACTGTTATTAGGAGAAGCTGATAGCAGGCATAATAGACAGGATCTGAGGGTTTCCCGCTCAGATCAATAGGTTAAAAGTGTCCCAAGCAAACCCCACCCCAATAGTTCATCTGGTCAGTTCGAATGGGCCAATCCCCAGGTGTTAAATCCATTGTGGGAAAACTGCTGATAACGCCAGGCTGTCTCAGGGTTGCAGCGATGTTTTGTTGGGTCTTCACACCTTCCCTTCCAAAAGCGGAGATAAACCAGTTGCCCCCCCCTTCAAGCTGACATCAAGGGGGAAGATAGTTCAAAGAGCGTGTATGCGGAGACAGCAAAAGTGTTGAAGAGTAGTGATAGAGGAAAATAAAGAAATAGCCCACAGCGTTTCCTCCCTCCCCTCCAGGAGCATGGCAGAACCCAGAAGAGTAGAAAGATTAGAGTTAGAATTAAAGTTAGAAAGAGTCCCCTTAGAATATGGGTTCCCACAGATGTTGATATCAGGGATCTGTGGGGGCCAAGCCATCACTTCCAGGACTTCTTGTTCTTCTTTACACTGAAGATAGTTCTTAATGACTGGGTGCAGGTTTGGGGTCGTTGTCCTGCTGCAGAATAACTTTGGGGCTAATCATACCTCTCCCTGATGGTATAGCATGATGGATAAGTATTTGCCTGTGTTTCTCAGCACTGAGGGCATCATTATCCTGACCGAATCTTCAACTCCATTTGCAGAAATGCAGCCCCAAACATGCAAGGGACCACCACCATGCTTCACTGTTGCCTGCAGACACTTATTATTGTACCCATCTCCGGCCTTTTGGCAAACAAATTGCCTCCTGCTATCCTTCAAATTTTGACTCATTAGTCCAGGGCACCTGGTGCCATTTTTCTACATCCCAGTTCTTATGTTTTCATGCATAGATGAGTCGCTTAGCCTTGTTTCCATGTTGGAAATATGGGTTTTTGGCCACAATTCTTCCATGAAGACCACTTCTGGGCAGACTTCTCCGGACAGTAGATGGGTATAGCTGGATTCCACTGGTTTCTGCCATTTCTGTGCTGATGGCACTGTTGGACATTTTCCAATGTCCAAGGGAAGTAAGCATGATGTGTCTTTCATCTGCTGCATTAAGTTTCCACTGCATCATGAAACTGTCTTCTACAACCTTAGTAGCAAAGTTTGGCTATTCCTAACTCACTTTTAAGCCTCCTACACAGCTGTTTCTGTTTTAGTTAATGACTGTATTTCAACCTGTATATGAAATTGATGATCATTAGCACCTGTTTGGTATAATTAATTAATCATACTACCTGCCTCTAATCCAGGGGTGTCAAACTGCCGGCCTGCAGACCAGTTGCATCATACGGAGGCTGTGCCCACCCAGCTCCGGCAATGCAAAAAAAGTCACGATACGTTGCGACACTTCATGTGACATGGCGAGTTTGACACCCATGCTCTAATCCTACAAAATCCCTGACTTTGTGCAAGTGTAAGAATTAATGCTGTTTTGAAGACAGGGTGGTCACACTAAATACTGATTTGATTTGGATTTCTCTTCTGTTCATTTACTTTCCATTTTGTTACTTGATAAAAATAAACTATTAACACTCCTATTTCTTTTTTTATATAATATTTTATTAGTTTTCTAATTTTACAATTAAACATTTAAAAAGCAACATGGTGGCTGGGTAATCAATAATTCAGTAACATACATAAATCTTTAGCACAAATCTCAAGTTACAACATCAAATATTTCCTCTCTTTTCCCCTTATCTCATATTGAGCTATTATAGTTTTTATTGTTATCAACTAAGTAAAATCATCTTTGTTACATTTATTAATAGTTTTTATCTTATACATATCTTAATTGTGTTTGCATTCAATCCTTATAATCAATGTCCTGTTATTGCTTTTTTCCCAGGCTTTAATTCCCCCTCAATATTCAAGTTAACATTTGGTATATTATAATTTCCAAGCTTTAGGCGACCAGAGTTTCCTTTATCTCAACTTCTACATTTTTCCCTTTTTATAATCTAAAATTCTAAATACACATCTTGTCTATTTGCATATAATCCTATTCTATTTTCTAAAAGTTATCTATTTTTCACCATATTAAACTCAAAGTCTATTAATTTTATTACACATCTTACCTATTCAATTATGTTACTTTATTTTCTAAAAATTATCTATTTTCCACCATATTCAACCCACTAATCAATAGTATAAAATCCCCTCTACTAGATCAAAACCCTAGTTTCTTTCAGCCTTACTCTGGCTTTTTTCCTTTGCCAACTAACCTTCCATGTCAGTACTTTTGAATTCTCAAACAGTTCTCCCTCTATTATTATATGTATTATTTGAAATAAGAAAGACCATTTAATTAACAGGTTTTTTGGGAAGGGCTAGCCCAATTATATTCATTTACTCTCCTCCCTATTACTCCAGTTTCCCACAATTGTCCTGATAAATTTATCTTCCATTCAATCTGTTTTTCTTCCTTTTCCTCAAATTTCTTCTGATTTATGTAAAAAGTCTTTTCTATTTTCAATGTTGTCACTCTCTTTTCTAATTTTCCCGTTGGCTGAATCTGTTGGTCAGTTGGGTCTTCTGTCTTAGTATTTAGTTATTCCACTTCTCCTGTTACTTGCTGCATTGTTAATTCTTTGGTTGTAGTCAAGATCTGGGTTTGTATATCTAAGCTAGCATCTTGTTCCTTTATGTTGCCTCTTATTTTGTTATACATTGAAATAATGGTTTCGTGTATTGATTTCAACATAAAAAGGATTTTTTTCCTGATCTTCAGCCATATTCTCTTGATAATGTATTAAGTTGAAAATTTTAAAATCAAATGTTAAAAATAGCTAGGTATGGGACATGTTGTAGGTAATCTTTATAGTGGAAATTGTTTGCCAAGTAAGAATTTATAGTCCAAAGTATTCCATCATCTTGTATAATACTTCTCATGTAAAGAAATAAAAAACAATTTCCCACATATAGCTCTGAAAATCAGTAAAGGTTTATCTTCATAGTTCAAACAGGCCAGATATGCCACCCTTTACAGATGAGTTTTTCACAGGTGGTATCTGACAAGGTCAAGTTTTTTCTAAATTCTAGGCTTTAAGCTAACTCTCATTTAGTCAATAACAAGTTGTAATACCATACCTCACCACAAGATGTCACTAATGCCATTTAAAACTTTTTAAGTCCCCGTTTTTATAATAGTTTTTTAAAGTTTATTTCTTTTCTTTTTAGATAAAAATCAGCGTATCCAGTAGAAATAGGAATAAGAAAACTTTTAGGAAAACTTTTTAGTCCTGAAATTTCAAAAGTATATGTATCCAATTAGATTAAAATTGTTTTTATAATTGCTTTGTTTCCCCTGGGTAGTCAGTCCCCGCTGTTCTTAGAGGGTGGGGCAGGAATTCTCTTCCCTCTCTCCTCACGGGGAAAAATACTTTTGCAGGAAAGATATTTAGAGTCTTAAAGAGAAGATCAGATCTCACCCAGTTTCATCTGTGTTGCTTTAAAGGTGCTTGGTAGTAATTTTGACTTCAGCTGTCAGCAGCTTAATGACGAGCCATATTGCTATGGCCGGTCTTTCCCCCGCCGGTTTGGAGAGCTGCCTCAGATCAAGCAGAAGGGCTACCGCCCTCCCACGATCAAGCGGGGGATCCCCTCCTCACTCGTCACCCCTACAGGGCGACTTTCGACCCTTTCCAGGGTCCCCCAGTGGGATGAAATCGGACACTGAAGATGGAGTTTCATCTCCATGCGTCCGCAGGCGTCAATGACAAACCGGAAGTCAACACTCCTAATTCTGAAAGCATTCTTAATTTTCAGGATTTTTGAACAACTGCCTAACACTTTTGCACAGTACTGCATTTATATTTTTATGGTGTGTTTCCCCACCCCCACTCAGCTGAGTAACATTGGCTAAGGTGATTGTTCTTAGCATAGCAAGGCATACATAATACTGGTCTGGGATTCATCTTCCAGAATCTAATTTAGACTGGAGTCATAAACTTTTTGGCAATAAGATCTATTGAACATAGTCAAGTTTCTGAATAAAGCCTAAAATACACATCTGATTATGCGGTTCATTCAGTATTCTGTTTTAATAATGGTCAGTCAAATGTTTCTAGGAATTTCTACTCTAGGTAGGAATAGTTCTTTCATTCATTCAAACTGTTGATGTCTCCATAACTGTACACATGTTTATGTTAAATATACAGTAATACAAATACCTGGAAATCTAATATAATCCTCTTTCTTGAGAACTGAAAGAAGCCTGCAGAAAAGCCATGGCAGCAAAATTAAATGTTGCTGTGAAAAAAGGTGACCTTCAGCTTGCTCAGCAGCTGTTGGAAGAAGGAGCAAATATTAACGCAAAGGTGGAAAATGGCTGGACACCTCTCCATAGTGCTGTACAGAGAAATTCTGAAAATATCGTTAACTTTCTGCTGGAAAAGGGGGCTGATCCATTAGCTAGGAAGGATAATGGTGCTACACCTTTTATTTTAGCAGGAGTGACAGGTAATGTGAACCTTTTGAAACTTTTTCTTGATAAAGGCTCGTATATTAATGAGCATGATATCAATGGCTTCACCGCATTCATGGAGGCTGCTTGTTATGGGCGAGAGGAGGCCCTGAGATTTTTACATAAGAATGGGGCCGATGTAAATCAGCGCCGTGAAGTTGATGAGAATAAAAAGGCTGTGAAAAAAGGAGGCGCGACAGCTCTGATGGATGCTGCCAGTCATGGCCATTTTGCTCTGGTCAAAATCTTGGTTGAGGAAATGGGTGCTGATGTAAATATCTGTGACAATCAAGATGCAAATGCATTGATTCATGCTCTATTTGAGGACAAAGACTGGAAAAAAGGCAGAGAAGACTCGGCCCTTTTCCTTTTGAAAAACAACATTGATGCCAATAAGAGGGATGTAAATGGGAAAACTGTGCTCATATTGGCTGTTGAAAGAGAAAGCCTGGACCTTGTGAAGGCCATATTAGAATTAGATGAAGTTGATCTTGACGATGCTGATGAAAATAACGAAACAGCATTGCATGTAGCTGTGAAGAAGCAAAACAAGGTAATAGCAACGCTTCTATGTGAAAAAGGAGTACGAGTAGATGATGATGTCCTGGATATTGCCCGTAGAACTTACCAAAGCAATATGATAGAACTTCTTCAGGAATATGAATCACCAGATAGTCCAAGGCAGCCAGAAATGTGTAAGGAATTCTCGAGCATTCGCTGGAGATCAAAACTCCAGAAACTCAATCGAATGCATCGTCCTATGATTGGCAAGCTCAAGATCTTTCAATATCAAGATTTATGGATCCAGAACACCACCCAAGGAGGGGTCTACCTGGGATTCTATGATGGAGTAGAGGTAGCTGTGAAGGTATTCTGCAAGGGTGCAGAAAATGCCAAGCGAGAAAAAGTGTGCCTTGAGAAATGCCAAACCAGCAAATACCTGGTAAAGTTTTGTGGTCAGGAAGTCCGGAAGACCTGTCTCTACCTGTGCCTCTCCTTGTGCGAAAAGAATCTTCAAGAGTACTTCAAGGAAGAAAACAGCACAACTATGGAAAGCAAAAAGATTCTTAAAGAAATATTTCAGGCTGTAAAGGAACTTCATGCCTTTGGATTTGGCCATCAGGAACTGCACCCAAGTAACATTTTGATAGGTTGGTGTTTTCTTTGGCGGTCTGCCCACTTATTCCAGTGTAATCCACTTAACTTTATGGGCTATATATGGAACAGCACAATTCACAATTTTTTTTTTTGCAGAGTGTTTTGTTGTTTTCAGCTTTCCCTATATAATATTATAAAGCCCCAGTTTGGCACTTTAGCAAACCATTAACAATTTCATCATCATAAGTGGCAAAACTGCTTATCATTTAAAAATGTCCCAAAGGTCACCCCAAGGTAATTTTGTCTGGTCATCTGTCCCATAAAAGAAAATTTCAGTACCCCATGAAAGTTGATGATTTCCTTCTCCTCCGACAGTCTTGTGATCTCGTTTTTATAGTTGAAGGTTGAAAGGTTGAGAAGAGGCGATGGCTCCTCCCCATCATGCTGTCTTTCCTTCAGGGACTTTCCCTCCATTCTAAAATCAGTATTGGCAATGAGCTGAATTTAAAAAAAAACTGTCTGTAGTGACTGCATGGTGAGGGGAAAAGTTAACAGTGATTTATTTTCCTGTACAATCCTTCAACTCAGATTCAATTCATGCTTTATACATGAACAGAAAAAGTCTTTCATACCTATGTTAACTGAGGAGGTTTGCTGGACACAAAATAATAGATACAAATTAAAATTCACTCAGTTTGAGTTGCAAATAGAAAAGAAGTTTATTAACCTTCACAACAAAGTTTAAAAAGTAACGGTTTGCAAAGCGTGGTGGATTCAGGAAGGCTAATGATGCAACACAGCCAAACGCTGAACCACACTCCAAGTTTCAGAATCACACATTATTATACATCCTATCACGACGCCCCATTCCCTCCTCCATGGCCCCATTGGCTTAGGCTTTGGAGGTTACAATCTTTCAGAAGCACCTAAACAGAATACATTATCTCCGCCCCTGTTTGCTTACATTATACTAATAAGATCCCTCCCCTACTATCCTGTTTACTCAGACCATATATGTACATCCCTATCAATCTTAGAGGAAGGATGTCTTCCATCTCCCACACCTGTCAAATCAAGTAGTGGTACCAAGCACCAGAAGGTATTTAAAATCAATTCCTAGATGATGACTCACATCAGGCCCCATTATAACTCCTGTTTCCCCCACCCCTCAGTTAAGACTTGTATTTTTCCCAATACACAAAGTATCCACTCAGGCAATTGATTATAAAATAATAATTATAAAATAATATAATAATGATTACATGATAATACTAAAATATATTTTATTTTTAAACTTACTTTTCCTTCCAGTTATTTTCCACAGGTTCACCCATTCTCAGCTCATTGGAATGGAAAAGAAGAGTAAACTCCTTTCCCTCACATTAGCTGATGCTGCCCAATAATCTGAGAAATTGCAATAAATCCAATAAAAGATAAAAATGAAAGAGGCTAACTCTGCCAAAAGCCTAAATGGGTGTTATTTTTCATCATAGTTAGTGAAAACAAAACAGCTTCATTAACTCTATGTGAAATTGAATTGGTGCACTACTGGTGGGAATGTTCCCTTCAGTGCACAAATATTTATCCCCTCCCTTCTGCAGCCATCAAAATCTGGACCCTCGGAACAAGTTTGAAGGGCCTGGGGAGAAAGACAAGTTAAAATTGTATTGTGTGAGCAGAACTGATCCCTGGATAAATATATGGCTTGAAGGTAGCTTGTTTACTAAAAACTGTTTATATTAAATTGTAAGGTGCCCAGAGTTACTGTGCCCAGAGTGACAGGATGGGCAGTTAATACATTTTACAAATAAATAAATAAAAATAAATAAATCTACATTTAATCAAAAACAGATATAAAAATTAACAAGCTTCTCTTGAGTCATAGGCAATGGACAAAGCCCAAGCATAATACATTCTCATAATACTGCAATAATAATTTAATATTTTAAGTAAACCAACTCCCTTGTGCATTAGGTTGACATGAAGTAAGACAATATTTCAAAAAAACAGATCACTCGCCTTATGCAAAATAAATATATTTTGCTAATGGGTAGGGTTGCCAGGTCTGCTTCCAAAAAATAGCGGACAAGCGGGGGGGGGGGTGTTAAGTAGTAAAAAAAGTAGACTGTACAGCTTTAGATTACGTACCATTTCATCATAAAGCTTTTGAATAAACAAAATGTCCACTATTTTGTGAAAAAAAATAGTGAACATAATGTGAAAAAAGTGGACTGTCCACTCAAATAGTGGACACCTGGCAACCCTACTGATGGGTCTTTTCTCAAAAAATAGTGGCAAAATTGCTGCCGTTACTTCAGTTTTCAAAGAATTTATACCTTGTTTCTATCAATTTCTTTTTTACTTTGCTAGATGTCACTGGCAAGATTTTTCTAGCAGACTTTGATAAGAGCAGAGAAATAACTGATGATACAAAATATTCTGTAATCTCGAAAGACCTACAGGTAAATAATTATCTTTATCTGTCTCCAATCTTCTATATTCTGCAGAATATTAAATATAATTATAATCTCCAAAGAACAAAAAAAAAGTAAAATTGGGTCTGGTCTTTACAGAAGCTTTTTTTTCCATAAAAACCTAATATGTGTTATGGTATTTTTATTTCTGAAAAACCCACATACCCTATTATACTTAATAATTAGACCTATTTCTAAAATACAAATTAGATATGGTGTTCCATTTTAAAAATAAATTTAGTTTTTACAAATCTACAGTTCTGCTAGTCATCCTTGTGCTAATTTGAATCTCAGCAGAGTTATCATTTTGGGAAAGCTACAACATTATTTCACTCCATTTAAGTCGATTTAGTCTATGGCGCAAAGCAAATCATAACTTACAAGTTATAATTTTACTGTATGGTGATGGGTATGCTTGGTACTTGCTGCATTAGCTAAGATGAACTACAATCTGGACACAGAACTTACTGCCCTGTGAGAACCCAGCATAGAGGCTAAAGAAGGGAATCTGCTCTAATTGTTCTGGTGTGATATAGACATTTGTTTGTGCACACAGGATCTCCAAAAACTTATGCTGTATGTTGTGATGAGAGGCCAGAAGGACTTTGAAGATTTGCCTACAGAATGCCCAGAAAATGTAAAAGAACATAAGGAAATTCAAGACCTCCAAAAAAACCTGGAACTCTCTGACCAAAGTACCCCAGCTGATAGTCTACTGGAAATGCTGATCTGTCATCCATATTTCTGGTCCAAGGAGACGTAAGTTAATACCAGAAATTTTGTAACTGGCTAATTTGACTTGATTGTCTGATTATTAGCATAATAGCCATAGGAGAAGGAGTTTTACAAGAAGAGCTAGAATGACAGTCCTGAAATTATGCAATCTGTTCATTGCAGATCTTTTAAATTTTAAAAAAATTGTCCTCAGCATTGAATTCCAGGATTGATTACATGACATATAATTCATTTTATCATCTCAGTGACCTGATATTGTTGAGAACAATGCAATTAATACGGAGAAAAAGTTGCTGTCAGAATTCCCTCATTGTATTTTCTCTGCAAGGATGAGATGGCTCACAATCATTCGGTAAAATGTTTCATATAAGCTATTATGATGAGCACACTAGAGATATCAAAGCAAAAGTTCTCAAAATATTAACACAGGGTACTGAATGTGATATGTCTCTGAAAGATAACTCTGAATTTAAGGCAGCCACCCCATTTCTAGACAAAATCACCACCAGATGGAATTGTAGCTGGCTGACAAACCGTACTCAACAAATAGTCCTCAATGTCACTACATCCACATGGAGAGAAGTAAGCAGTGGGGTACCACAAGGCTCTGTCTTAGGCCCAGTACTCTTCAATATCTTCATAAATGGGGGAATAGAAGAGGAATTCATCAAATTTGCAGATGACACTAAACTGGCAGGAATAGCTAACACCTCCGAAGATAAGCTCAGGATCCAAAAAGATATTGACAAACTTGAACAATGGGCCCTATCCAACAAAATGAATTTTAATGTGCAGAAAAGCAATTTTATATTTAGGCAGGAAAAATCAAAGGTATAAGTACAGGTTAGGTGAAACTGCCCAGATTCATTATCTTGTCAATGTAGAGTTGCCAACTCTAGCTGAAACTAATTCTAGAATTCCAATGCCTCCACCCCCACAATAAAGAGTCACTGGAGGTTGGGTAGCATATAAATTTAATAATAAGAATAGGTACAGTAGAATGACTATGCTAAAAGAAAGCAAAGATGTACTAATACTAATAGTTGCTTTGAGTGCAAATCCCAAATCAGGTACTTGCAATTCCAATAACCTCCTATTTCTCAAAGTCTCCCTCTCTTTTATCAATACTAGACATCCAATTTTGATTGCCACAATATAACAATATATTGAGACTCTAGAACAGACATGTCAAACTCTTGACGTCACATGACATTGCGCAACGTATCAGGACAGTTTTGACATTGCCGGCAATGGGATGGGTGTGGTTTCCACGTGACGCGTCCGGCCCATGGGCTGGCAGTTTTGACACCCCTGCTCTAGAAAGAGTGAAGAGAAGAGCAGCAAAGACTAGGGGGACTGGAGGCTAAAAGATATGAAGAACAGTTGCAGGAATTGGATATGTCTAGTTTAATGACAAGAAGAAGTGATAGGGTGACATGATAGCAGTGCTCCAATATTTGAGGGGCTGCTATAAAGAAGGGGGGGATACAACATATTCTCCGAAGTACCTGAATGCAGGACAAGAGCAATGGATGGAAACAAATCAAGGAGCAAACCAATCCAGAACTAAGGAAAATTTTCCTGACAGAACAATTATTCTCTTCATTAAGAACAAGATAAATGCTGCCAAAGGGAGGATTGTGTTCTAGTGTTATCTTTATTTTTAGATACATTTTTGGGCAATGGGTAGTCCCATTAAAACTCTTAAAAAATTAAAGTAGAGTATGGGCATAGTCCAGTGATCAGTTTGGAAATGTATGCTTGCCCAGAAAGCTGACACAAATCTATTGAGGGTTTAAAGAATATCATGTCAGTTTAGAGGGATAGAAGGGGAAATCTCACTGGTCTGGTTTCTAATAAATGAGTGTTTGGTGGTTGCCATGTCCAACCAAGATTGTTATTTTTGTAACAGTGCAGGTGTTCTTATCAGCTCTTTTATGAGAGAACCCACAATATGCCATCCAAACTGCCTGCAGTCACTTCCTAACTTTGACGTTAATATGCAAAGTATATTTTATTGTACAGATCACCCACAACACTTTTCATCCAGTAGTAATATATTGCATTTTTTACAATTGCTTTTTGTTCTACAGAAAGTACAGGGTCTTAAGAGATATCGGGAATGAGATACGTGTGGCTCATGCAAGCAAGAAAAGTGACAGCCTGAATGCTTTGAAACATAAGAGTGATCCTTTCATGGACTGGAAAACAAAGGTAATCTATTGAACAGCAAAAAAGAAAAAAAAAGGAATTATTTTGCATCTTCCAATTTAAAGTTTCAATTATATTAATTTCTACATTCAATCTTTGCCTTTTTTGGGTGCTGGCTATGCAGGTTTGATGGCAGCTTCTGCTAGTGACAAACAGCTAAGGCCTCACATGAGCAGTTTATCATAGGCATGTTTAGTCAACATCCATTATTGAGAGCAATGTATGTAGTGGTATGTAAAATTTGAACGAGGATCAGGGAGACCTTGATTCAACTCCACTTGTATATTAATGTTGAAAATCCTGTGAATCAGTGTGTGAATTTGAATCCAAAGTTTTCTAGCTTTTTCATATGTCCACCCAGCATGAGAAGATAACCCTTCTTGTTTACATTTCCATCATAAATTTGAAGTGCCTTTTTACATTCTAGATCAATTTCTAAATTTTAATTTTTCCAGCCACATATTTCCCAATGTTCCATCTGTATATTATAACCAAAATTTTAGTCCACTTTATCATACATTTTTTTACTTGTTCTTCTGTTTCAAATTTCAGTAAAAGTATACACAGTTTAGCAATTACACGTTCGTACACAATTCGATTTCAGGTGTAGTCCTTTTGTATACTTTAAATCTTTCTAATAACTGTAGATAAGAAAACCATTGACAAATTATCCCTCTGCCAGAAGCTATATTCTCCTTGACAAAATTATAGTATCTCACAATAAGCCATTTTGTTTGTCTCTTATTTTTCATTTATAAAATGCTTCTTGTGCTGAGACTCACAAAGGGGTTTTTGGAGGGCACAAACTGGATTTGGATCTATTTCATATGCTTAATATGGCACGTCTAACACAATTTTTAAAATCCATCTTAATCTTGACTTTGTCATTCCACGAATATTCATGCCACTCAAATCTCAGGTCAAGTACTTTAGGCACCAAGAGCCTTCTATTTCTTAGCAGCATTGACTCTTTCATCCACTCTAATAGCAAGCTACAAAATACAATTTCGAATCAGGTAGACCCACTCCTCCTCTTTCCTTTGCATCTTACAGTATCTTATATTTAATTCATAGTTTTCCTCTGCCACACAAATTTAGATATATCTTTTATCACTGTTTAAATTGTGCATCAGAACAGATACTGTCTAAGACAAAAACATAATTCTAGGCAAAACATTTATTTTTATCATAGAAATTCTCCCCAGCAATAAAAATGGCAGTTTCTCTCATCTTAACATATCTTTTTTAACTTCATTCCATGTCTTAACATGATTATTTTGAAATAACATACAATTTGTATTTGTCATAGTGATACCCAGATTTTACTTTTTTCTCAATTTTAAAGCCCATTTTATTCATCAATTTTATTTGATCTTTTATTTTCGTGTTAGTTGTTAAAATCTTTGATTTCTATTTGTTGAACTCAAAACCTGCTAATGCACTAAAGCCTTTCTGGCTTGGCAGCCTGGCTGGAGGGAGAGGGGAACTGGGCTGCGTGAATGGCAAGTTGGTGCGCATGCGCTTGTGCACCAGCCCACTGCTCACGTGAATGGAGTTGTATGCATGCGTGCTGGCACTCCATCCACACAAGTGGAGCTGCATGCATGCACGCACACCAGCCCACTGCTCGCCCGGCCCAGTTCTGAATAGGCCACAGCCCAGTAGTGGGCCGTGGCTTGGGGGTTGGGGATCCCTACACTAAATCTTTTTGTTTTCCCATTAATGTCTCAATTCCCTTCAAAAGATCTTCTAAAACCAACATCAAGTCATCTGCAGAAAACCTACATTTATAAGTTTCTTTTTAAATCTTTACTCCCACAATCCTCTCATCCTGTTTTGTATTGCTATTCAGTATTTCAAGAACCAAAATAAACAAGAAAGGAGACAGTGCGCATCCTGTCTTGTTCCTTTTGGTATCTCACAAAGGCTTGCTAGAACTTCATTAACAATTATTTGTAGTTTCTGTGAAATATAAATCCACCTCACCTATTTCATAAAGTCTCCCCAAAGTTCATATCTTCCAAAACTTTGAAGAAAGAAGTTCTCTTCAAATTGTCAAAAGCATCCTCTGCTTTTAAGAAAATCAATGCAGCTTGTTTTTCATTATGTTGCTCCAAATATTTCAGAATGTCCAACGTATTTTTAGTATTACTCTTTAACTGTCTTTTAGGCTAAAAATTCTCATTGATCCTCATGAATAAATTCTTGCAAAATTATTTTTAGTCTGTCAGCTAGAATTGTAAACAACTTGCAATCATTATTCAATAATGGTATTGGACTATAATTTCTTCTTAAAGTCAAACAAAAGTCCTTCTCTCTCAGTTTCAGTAGTGCCGAATTATCTAGTTTTCTTTCCAGCTTTATTCCTATAATTTCTGTTTTACTATCCAGAATTTCTACTTTGTCATTAATTTGTTTTATATCTAGAGACACTTGTGTTACACAGATTTCTGTCTTCTGAACTTCTTCCATCCCTTTTCATCTTTGCAAGTCTTTGATCCATTATTCTTTCAAAAGCTGTCAATTTAGTATCAAATGATTCAGATAAACTTATTGTTCAATTTCTCAAAGATTTTCTGAAGTAAATCTGCTTTAATTCCTCTCACTGCAGGTTGCTCTAATGATCTCCCCCTCTCTGCTGTTTTTTGCTACTTTCTAGCGCAGTGGTTCTCAACCTGTGGGTCGGGACCCCATTTGGGGTCGATCGACCATTTCACGGGGGTCGCCAAGCAAGGCTGTCCGCCATTTTTTTTGTCCACCATTTTCCCCCCTTTTCCGGCGGGTCCCTTACCTCCCTTGGGCTGGGCCAGCTGGTGGTTGGCCTGCTCCGTCTCTGCCGCTTGCCAGCTACGCCTCGGCCGGCGCAGGGGGCGGAACCACGCATGCACGGCGCTCCCGGGCAGGGAAAGTCCTCAACTTACGACTGGTTGGGTAGTCCTCGACTTACGACCGGTTTAGTCCTCAACTTACGACCGGTTTAGTCCTCGACTTATGACCGGTTGGGGTCGCGGCATTAAAAAGGTTGAGAACCACTGTTCTAGCGGTTGCCATTGTAATGCTGTAATCCAAATGTGAAAGTGTCTCAATTGCAAGGAAAAGAGTGAAAGACCTTTTTTCCCTATTGATACCCTTAAAATGTTCATCTCAAATGACATTTTATGGTTTCAATCAGCATCACAATCAGGCTATTATTACCTTTATTTTTTGTTTTGCAAAATTCATCATTTGTCTGTACCCTTTAATAGTAAAAAAACCCCCACATATTCCCATCCAGTTCATTTGTCTATTTTAATTCCAAGTTTTTGAAAAACACTTTCACACACATACACATACATGTCCATCCCCTTTATTTGTTTTAAACTTTTTTTATATTTCCTCCTTGTTAAGTTTTTTGGCAGTTTTAAATCTTTATACCTTACTTTTTCCCTTTTTAATCTATAAAAATGTTGACACATCAAATGGAATTATTGTGCTGCTGAGAAAATCTCTCTTTAGCTGTAAATTATACCAGAAAGTGTTTATGAAAATGAGGCTTGTGCAAAGGCTGCATTATGTGATATGTGAGCTAGGTTGAAATCCCTCGAGTCCCAGCTGCGTAACTCATGAGTCAACTGCAAAAAAAACTATGTTTCCGCAGCCACACTATAAAGTGTCATTTGAGATGAAGTTCTCACAATCTCTCCTTTATCCAGAAAGTCTGTGCCTATCTGCCTTTCGATCTCTGCTGTAGTGTCCTTCAAGGATGTCTAGTCTGCCATAAATCCTCACCCAAAAGCCAACATTGTTATATCCACCGAGTTGCAAAGAGTGAGTTTCATGGACCAATAACTGACCAGAATTTTACATCTTTTTCAGATTGATGAAAAAGTACTGGAATCTATGGAGTTTCCGTCCAGAGAGAAAGGAAACAAGAAGGGCAACAAGAAGGACAAAAGATGCTATCAGCCGGGGGTGATAGATTTATTAAAGTTGATTAGGAATATGGGTGAACACTACGATGAAAAGGACGATGAGTAAGTAAATCTTTTTCTAAATTATGTATCTCTGAATGTATCTCTACATTGGATTTGTCGGCTGGCAACCTTTGGTTCTTCTTTTTCTATTATGGTAACTAGAATAAAAACCTGGAGGAAAGATAAGTCACAAACTTATCTTCATAGATCATGTCCAACTGCAGAGAAATCTGTCACTTTGCAGGCAAAAGGAAAAAAAAATTCGGAAGAATGACAATTCTTCCTATATCCTGGACTCGGAATTGCTCTTGGAGCCAACAGCAACTATTAATAAGTTCAGAGAGGAGGTAGTAGTGACAGATTCCAGAGTGCTATTGGAAGCAGTTTCCCCAAGAGTTTTAGATACCAATATTGCCTATGGTATTCATGCCTCTCTGACACTAACAAATGTTCATTATGTAAATTCTAACATAATTTAGAAGACAGGCAACTGAGCCTAAAATAAAATGGGACATTTATTGATTGGTTTAGAATAGAAAGGGATCTTTTTAGGAGTGAGGTGAGGAGCAAAAGGAAAGGAAAAATTCTAATAATTGATACTGCATCTCCTGTAATCTCTTTCGCTTCTCAATGAAATGAAAGATTTATGGGAGCAAATCCAAAGAAATATCTGCTACTGAATATATAACTGGCATGAAGTAATATAGACTGTTCTGAAAAATGGTACAGGTAATTCTTGACCTACGACCACAATTGAGCCCAAAATTTCTGTTGCTAAGTGAGACAGTTGCTAAGTGAGTTTTGTCCCATTTTATGATCTTTCTTGCTACAATTATTAACTGAATCACTGCAGTTGTTAAGTTAGGAACACGGTTGTTAAGCAAATCTGGCTTTTCCCCATTGACTTTGCTTGTCAGAAGGTCACAAAAGGAGATCACATGACCCGGGACACTGCAACCATCATAAATATGAAACAGTTGCCTAGCAACATTTGATTATGTGACCGTGGGAATGCTGCAATGGTTGTAAGTATGAAAAACGGTCATAAGTCAATGCCACTGTAACTTTGAACAGTCACTAAATGAATGGTTGTAAGTTGAGGATTACCTGTATTTCTAAAAAAAAGATTGCCCATTATGTGTAGAACAATTGTAGTAAATATGCTGTGCGGACAAAAGATCATTTTGATTCCATATGTATGTTTGTACAAGCTTAAGAACTAGTCTGATGTTAACTTCAGCTCAGAGGACATAGGGACACAAAGGCTTTATCCTCCTTGCCCTGGTGCCTGCTTACACTTTTGGTGCCATCAATCTGTGTGCTGAGGCTTAATTTAGAATCTGCAAGACAGATGTCAAAGAACAAGAAAGTAAGGTGACGCCAGAGTGGCAATAGATCTTGAAAAGCTTTATTAAGAAATTGCCTCTTTACATACAGCATCAGAAGAATATGACCCCAAACAGGTGGATGAGCTCAAATGGCGGGGAAGGTTTCCAGTACTCAATTTACAAGGAAGCTGGGAAAAAGGAATAATTCTTAAAACCCCTTTCTGCCAATTCCCTACACTTTGGAATCATTATCTCTTGGTTCTGAGATGATTATCAAGGGGAAATTAATATTTATATCCAATTGAGAGGAAGAGTTTACAAATAAATAAGAAAACACATAATGGGGAATACACATTGAAGAGAATGAGTTTGGGTTGTTTGTTTAGAGTTGTATCTTTTGCCCTTAGGAGGCAAAAGAAAGCGTTTAGGGTGAAACTGGCCAAGATCTTGCCAATTTCAGACAGGAAGCCTGCAGAGGATGCTAATTAACTAATCAAGGTCATAGAGCTGAGTTTAATAATCTGTAAGGTTGGCAGTGCTGAGCTGGGAAGAAAAGAGTTTAGGAAGAGATAGTTTGTTTAAGCAATCTCTCCCTTGTGCAAAGGGGGAAATTCTAAAAGGTGGAAAAGAAAAACAATATACAAAAATAGGATGAGACAATCAGGCACAGGACACTTTTGTGTGGGATATGCCTTCCTGGCAGAAACTCCATCTTTTGGCCAGCATGCCGCAGGGACAGGCTGAAATTTGAAGCACATCCAACAAGAACATTTTCTTTTCTATTGAAAAAATCAATGCAATCTGCTGGATGGACTTTCTGATTTATTGGGGGGGGGGAGTTTGAGAGAGATCATTAACCTGCCAGGCTCCAATTGGATCATTCCATGGCTGCCCCTCCCATCCACCTGCAGGCTGTGTCTTTCCGTGGCTCCTCTTCCTCCTCTTACATACAAACAGATGAGGATCTTTTTTTTTCTCTGCACTGACCTTATCTCCAATTTTCTCCCACAGCAATGCAGCAAAGTTTTCTGGCCTGTTTGACAGACTGGGAAGAGAATAGAGAGGAGGGGGTGTAGTTTTTGAAGCAGTGTGTCTTCTCTCCTCTTGAGGATGGGAGGAAAGCATTCCTGTGAGGTTGTGGGAAGAAAGTCCAAGCAAATGTAAATTGAAGACTGGAAAACAAACACGTTGCAAAAGCAGAAACTTGAGAAAAAGGTGGATGTTAGAAGAATATCTCTATGAAAAAATGTTCCAGGTTTCAATGATCAAAGGAGTTGTATGCTATTGCTACAGTAAACTTGAGAGCAGGGTATTTAAAGCAAATTAGACTAATAAAGTAGTGGTTTGAGTCGATTGCTGAGTGAATTGTCAATGGGGCCTCTTATGATCTAAAAAAGAAAAGAAAATGAGATTATCAAGCCAGCTCTTAGGAAATGCTTGGATTTTAATAACTATGCAGCCTTTTACAGCATGCATAGTTCACAGATGCAAAAAACATGTACCGTATTTTCCGGCGTATAGGACGACTGGGCGTATAAGACGACCCCCAACTTTTCCAGTTAAAATATAGAGTTTGGGCTATACTCGCTGTATAAGACT